CGAGTAGTCTAACGCTACCCCCAACGACACAGTGGGGTTCCGCGGAACCGCTAAGTCGGATCATCAAGGACGCTAGACTACAAGAATCTCACCTCGCCCTTTCGGACGTGGCTGCAGTTCCCCGATTCGGCACACTGGGCTACAAAACTTGAAAACTCGACTCTAGTGCAACGAACAAAGTAACAATAGCAACAACGAACGAAAGAAGAGAGGAGATGAAGGGATTCCTAATTTCGTCCCAAGTTCAGTAAACGTGTCTTTGTACAGAATGCGTTCACAATGAATTTACAAGGTTAACTAAAACTAAACGCACGCAACTTAAAGCTAAGACGCACGCATCCCACGATGTCCCTGGTTCTCCGCTGGGTCGATGTGCACACGACAGATGTTTAATTGGTAATGAGTCTCCGTACCACTCAAGGTTGATCTAATATATCCGTCGTCAGTGATCTGGAACAGTTGATAACTTTTTTTCAAACTTCTAAAATTTAATCTTTGTGTACACATCGAAAGTTGAATTGATAATGAGCCTCCCTACCGCTCAAGGTTAATCTAATGTTTCGGTCGTCGGTGATCCGGAACAACTGATAATTTTTGTTTAGTATTTCTAAGAACAGTTTTTCTATTATACTAATCAATAATTTCATAGTTTTTACATTTCTGTCGCAAAGTTACACTTTCGTGAATATGTTACAACGTTAAACGTAATATTTTATTAATTTTTTAACGGCTGAAACTGAGTTTACATTTTCGTGATATTAATTTTTAAATTATAACTGGATTGATGTATATTAAATAGAAATTTATGTAGAGAAAAGTTATGTAGTCAAAAATTATATTAAGCGGTGATTGTCTCTTTTAAAGTAATCGCGCAACATATAAAAATTTTTGCTCGTTTATTGTTTCAGAGAGCAAGAAATATGTATATTATGTAACTGTCTTTTCCCTTATTGTAAGTAAAATAATTTAGTTATTATAAGTGAATTATTCAAACTATGAAATAATGTTTGGTAATTCAATCATAATTCAATTGTTATAAGTATAATATAATTCTAAATGTGGCAACCATGTGAGACTTTAAGGTCTTGACGACTATGCTTTCATTAGGAAAACTGAAACTTGCTTCTGCCCCTTTACTTCGCTTTTTTTTCGTCATTATGCACAATAACGAAGGCAAAGTGGGTGAAAGTATGACTACTCCCTCATCGATTTCGGTGATTTTTGTATGCATTGCGAAGATATTTTGAACAGTTTCTTCTTTTAACGGGTACGTTGGATTTTATCCGTTCGGGATATCGATTTCTAAATGATATTTAAGGATCGTTGAAATTGAAAAAATGGTTCATCGGCAATCAGAATGGAGGAAAATACGAACGAGCAAT